CCTCCTTTGCTTCTTTCCCCTCTCTTCCACTAAGGCCCATATACCTCCCCGGGGGTTCCGGTAATCTCTCAGTACTCTGGTATACTCCCGATTTCACCCGGAACCATTCCGGTGTCCAAACATAGGCTTCCAATATATCGATCTTTACGTCTCGACCATTTCGAGACTCCTCGTCATGTCCGTGATCAAATCCGGGACTCCGAACTACCTTCGTCACATCAAAACACATAAACTCATAATACCGATCATCGCCAAACGTTAAGCGTGCGGACCCTACGGGTTCGAGAACTATGTAGACATGACCGAGGCATGTCTCCGGTCAATAACCAATAGCGGAACCTGGATGCTCATATTGGTTCCTACATATTCTACGAAGATCTTTATCGGTCAACCCGCATAACGATATACGTTGTTCCCTTTGTCATCGCTATATTACTTGCCCGAGATTCGATTGTCGGTATCTCAATACCTAGTTCAATCTCGTTACCGGCAAGTCTCTTTACTCGTTCCGTAATGCTACATCCCGTAACTAACTTATTAGCTACATTGCTTGCAAGGCTTATAGTGATGTACATTACCGAGACGGCCCAGAGATACCTCTCCGACAATCGGAGTGACAAATCCTAATCTTGATCCATACCAACTCAACAAATACCATCGGAGACACCCGTAGAGCACCTTTATAATCACCCAGTTACGTTATGACGTTTGGTAGCACACAAAGTGTTCCTCCGGTATTCGGGAGTTGCATGATCTCATAGTCATAGGAACATGTATAGTTATGGAGAAAGCTATAGCAACAAACTAAACGATCATCGTGCTGAGCTAACGGATGGGTCAAGTCAATCACATCATTCTCTAATGATGTGATCTCATTAATCAAATGACAACTCATGTCTATGGTTAGGAAACATAACCATCATTGATTCAACGAGCTAGTCAAGTAGAGGCAAACTAGTGACACTCTACTTGTCTATGTATTCACACATGTACTAAGTTTCCGGTTAATACAATTCTAGCATGAATAATAAACATTTATCATGATATAAGGAAATATAAATAATAACTTTATTAGTGCCTCTACTCTAGGGCATATTTCCTTCACCTTCTTCTCAGCACCACTATCGGACTCGCGGCCTATGCCTACGGCCCAGGGCCGTCGGCATAGGTCCTTTGCCGTCGGCATAGATCTATGCCTACGACTGTCGTCGGCATAGGCCCATCGGCGTAGATCACGTCAGCGTAGTCTTGTCAGACCGTCGGCGTAGTATAGCCGTCGGCATAAGGGCCTATGCGGACGGCCGGGCGTCAGCCGTCAGCATAGTTTAGCCGTCGGCAGTGTTTTTCGCCTGACGGCAACGGACAGCGCCGTCAAAAGCGCTGGCGATTCACGAGAAGGCACGTGGCATAGGTATGCCGATGGCTTGGCCGTCAGCATAGGTGGAAATCTATGCCGACGGCCGAGCTGTCGGCATACCTCTGGCATGTGGCATTTCCTGGTGCCTCCTGGTGGTAGGGCTATGCCTACGGCAAAGCCATAGGCATAGATGGAACCTATGCCGACGGCTTTGCCGTAGGCATAGCCGTGCCACGTGTCAACCCCCGGTTCTTCCTGGCGGCAGGGCTATGCCTACGGCAAAGCCGTCGGCATAGATTTATGCCGACGGCTTTGCCGTAGATAGCCCTTCCATGTGGCGCGCCCCTGGTGTCACGACAGCCATCTATGCCTACAGCATTGCCGTCGGCATACTTGCTGACCAGACCAAAAAAAAAGATTAGCCAACAAAGCTAGCTATTTATTACAAATGCTTATACAGACATGATTCAACAGCCATGGATTTGCAAACACAGACCATAGTATATTTTTTATGTACATAACATTTCCATTCTAAGAATCCACAACAACATTATAGGAGGGCGAGGGGCGGTGGTGGGGGAGACAAGGCTGCAATGATGGAGGTGGCATACAGTCAGTACAACAAACCGAAGATCCTACATATGAGGATGAATATGTAATTATACATTGAATTTACCAAAAGAAAATCGCCTAGAACAGGGGCATCAAACTAAAAAGGCAGGAAATTATTGCTTTTGCTGAAGATAACTTGTCATGTTGGTGCTTGAACCCAACAATACTACTAATACATACAGTACAGAGATGCTCCAGTTTCGGTTGTATCTATCAAGCATCAGTTGTTGTTCAAGGCAAGCTTCAAAGAGAAAAAGAGTGGTGCTGATTCATATGTATATATGTATATACAGAAGATGCAAGTGTCATCAAGTTGGCTTTAGTCAAAGTAATAAAACAAATGGACACATACAAAACTGAACCAAGGGTGGTGCTGATTCATGTGTATGTACAGATTGAGGTGCCATCCAGTTGGTTTTAGTCAAAGTTCAACCAAAAAAATTGACACATACAAACTGAAGAAAAGTGTGGTGCTGATTCATATGTATGTATGTACAGGAGATGCAAGTGCCACCAAGATAGATAGTTTCAGTCAAAAGTAAAAAACAATTGGACACCTACAAACTGAAGTAAATCGTCGTGCTTTTTCATGTGTACATACAAAAGATGCAAGTGGTATCCAGAATTTGGATATAGGTAGTACGCTCATGTGGTGAATTTTGTGAATCTATACTCTGCATCTACCAAAAGGATCACTCCCCTCACATGCAAATATAATTCGGTCCAATGGCTTTCTTCTCCCCTCACATGCATAAGACGAGAGCAGACCATCTAAATAGGCGGATCAGACCTTCACCTTGGGAGAGAGGCGAGTGCTACCTGTTGCTGTGTCGTCGTCGAGCTCGGGTGGTCCTCCTCCTCCTCGAGCAGGACAAGGTTGTTTCTCCCCTACACTCCAATGGCCATCTTCTCCAAGGACATCTACAAGGGCAGAACACACCATTGATGCAAGTGTCACAAAGATAGTTTCAGTCAAAGTTAAAGCAAATGTAAATACGCAAACATAACCAAACTGAGGTGCATATTCATATGTGTGTGTATGTAGAGATGCAAGTGCAATCTGAATTTTGGGGAACCAAAGCATGGTTGTTGTCATTGTTGTTGCTACTTTATACGTGCCACCACACGTTAAGACATGTATGAGGACCCGGCGCGATGCTCTGGTGGCATTGCTACCCCCCGAAGGGTTTTTTCTCAAAATATACAAAAAATCAAAACAAAATGGTGTTTCCTGTAAATTTGAAGCAAACATGATTTAAGTTAGTTCAAATTTGAAACATAGTATAGCAACATAATCCTTTCAAGATTCTGACAAAAAAACCATATAAAATTTGTCAAAATCGATCCAAGTATCAATTACTTATGCTTTTAACATAGTACAAGGACATATATGCAAAAGTACACGAGGTCACATTTCTAACATACTCAAAAATAAAAACAAACTGGATATTCATCATCTATGGAAAATTCTACCCCAAGTCAATGTATAATTTGTGTATGTTTAAGTTTAGATAAGTTAGATTTAAATTATTCAAATTTTAACTTTTAAAAAATAAAAATAATTTAAAATAAAAAACAGATGATATCTATGCCTACGGCCATGCCGTAGGCATAGTTCTCAGGGCTACCAGGAGGCGCCACGTGGCGGGGCTATGCCTACGGCCTTGCCGTAGACATAGATGGATAACTATGCCTACGGCTTTGCCGTCGGCATAGCTTTGCCACGTGGCAGCTCCTAGTAAAGAAACAGATGATATTTATGCCGATGGCCGCCGTCAGGGCCGTCGGCATAGATTTGACAGCGTCAGCCCGCCGTCTGTCCCCGAGCCACCAGGGTCACCTCTATGCCGACGGCCTAACTATGCCTACGGCTGCCGTAGGCATAGATCGATGTATGCCGACGGCCTTACTATGCCTACGGCTGCTGTAGGCATAGATGAAGCTATGCCGACGGCTTTTCTATGCCGACGGTATTCGCGAGGCCGTCGGCATAGCTCCATCTATGCCTACGGTAGCCGTCGGCATAGATATGGCCGTAGGCATATAAGGTTATTCCGGTAGTGCACGCTCACCGCCGGTCTCAATAAGGACTTTGGCAATGCCGCGGCGAATCTCGCCCTGATTCCCTAGCCCTCCTTCGCCAAGTTCATAGCCTATCTCCGGTTGGAGGAGCGCCGGATAAAGCAAGTGAAGACCCAGGCCATGCACACTGCTCTCGCTGCCAGCACCACTCGCGATGGCCCTCCCCCGCCACCGGTCGCCTCCCATCAACCACGGGCTCCCGCCGCCGCAGCAGCAGTACCCGGGGCCACCACCACAGTCGTATCTGGCGCCCTACCCGCACTCCCCTACGAGGCAACGTACCGGCTCACCCGCAGCCGCCCGCGCTTCCTACTGATCGCCACCCGGGCGGCAAACGCGGTGGTGGCAAGCAGCAGCAGCTCACCGGTGGGGCTCCTCGCCAGAACCAGCCGACACCGCCATGATTGGGTGGCCACAACCCATGGATGGACGTCGTCCATGCCAGCTCATCAGGCCTACTACGGCACGCCGTGGCCGTATGGAGGGTACCTCCCTGCCCCACCGCAGTACGTCGGCGGAGGGTTCATCCCTCTTCCACCGCAGCAAACCGTTCTACGGTGATCATTTTCATGGCAACATGCTGGTCGTCTCTACCATTACTTCCCAACTTCCGTATGCAGATTCCTGAGTTCAACTAAAAAAACAAAAACTAAAAACAAAGGGACTCTTATCGCATGCAGATTTCTCAGTCTCCTTTTAAAGTTGTAGATAGATGCAAGATATCCTCAAAGAAACAAAAACGCAACTGTACCAGGGGTCGTGCCTCAAGATGTAACATATACGTATATCTACCCCTCAAAAAAGAAAAGCAAAGCAAACTTTTACGGTGGCACTAGATTAGATCCGCTATAAATAAGGGTTTCTCGAGTCTCCCTCCCTATCGAACCTTTTCATCGATCTATCCTCCGACGATTCCCCAACCTCGCGGCGACACCAAGACGATCGAAACATGGCATCCTCCCGTGCCCATGAGCATCGTCCACGCAGCCCAAGGGACTGGGCGAACCTGAACGCCGGACCGGTGGGGCTGGTCGCCGAGAACCTCCTGCGCAACGACGTCGTCGACCTCATCCGCCTCCGCGCTGTGTGCAGGTCGTGGCGCGCGAGCTCCGCCCACCTGCGCGCGCAGGGCGTCCTGGACCGGCGGTTCCACCCCCGGCGGTGGATCATGCTCCCAAAAGAATTCGACATCCGCGGCCGGCGACGCTTCCTCAATGTCTTCACCGGCAAGTCCATCTACCAGGGGCTCCCGTATGTAGATCTCCTCAGCGAGTATGTTCTCACGACCACGTTTGAGGGTCTCATTCTTCAACTAGGCACCTGCGCCGGCCAGCTCCTTAACCCGCTCACCGGACAGGTCGCGGGGCTTCCAAGTGCGGCCACGCTGCTCTTTGGGCAGACCCTAAGTAATCTTGAGGTGAGCGGTGTGGGCCTTGCCGACGATGACACAGTTGTGCTTCATTTTCGCTCCTTCTATGTAGCTGTTGCCAAGCCCGGCGACGAACGCTGGACGCATGTTCATTCCCATGACAGGATCATGTCAGTCTTGCCGTTCGCAGGCCGCGTCTACTGTGCCACGTCAAAGAACATCTCGTCGGTACAAACTCAAACCGCGACACTGAACCAACCACCGCGGCTTGTGGTGGCGGCCGACCATGGACTACACACGGGGTTCCAGTCGCTCGACGAATTCGAATACAAATTGTTCATGGGGTTTAGCCAGATTTTCCTAATGGAAAACAATGGAGAGTTGATCATGTGTCATCATGCTCACAGTTGTTCGCCCCAAATCGTCGGAGATTGCAATGTCAGCATGTATCGGGTGAACTGGAACGCAAAGAACACGGTGCCCCAACATGGCCTGGATGGAAAAGTCTTGTTTCTCGGCAAGAAGATACTCCTGGTGGTTCCCGGAGTGTCTCCCTCCATCAGTGCTGACTCCAAATACCTGTGTTGGTCAAAGCCCAAGCGCAATTATGATGCTACTGATTATGCCGTTGATGTTCTTTTTGGTGGAGGCGCCGAGTCCAAGTTTAAGAAAGATGATGCTGCATATTATTTATCATGCTATGTCTCTCATTCTTATACTGATCACGTCTAGAGGAACTCATGCTTTGCTCTATGTTTTGAGTTAAAGTAATTGTTATTTCCATTTTTATCTCTAAGTTTTAGGGTTGTGGTAGATTTTATCTCATTCAACAGAAATTCCTTCAGTTTACTCAATGTAACAAAAAATTCCTACTGTTTACCCTTTTAAAAAAGATATATATTCCAACTAATCCGTCTCACATGTTTGTGCTTACTTGGCAACGGCGTAGAGGGTTTTTGTAGCCAATTGGATTTACCAATGATTGTAAAAGCTAGCGGCCTGCGCATGCATGATTGCAATGGCATGTTTGTGAAAACTAACCATTTGAACATTAGATAGGGCAGTGACACTCTTTCCAATCCTTTTGCAAAAAAAAAAAAACCTGATCTCTCGAATGTATACTCATTGCAACTTAATATTTGATTCGACGAACAAAGATATCATGTATAGTTTTCTGGACTTGCTAAATCAAAGTCCACTCTGCAGTGGTTGGAATCTGGGCGCTTTTTCTGTACGTTGTGTGCATGTACAAGCGCATAAGGTGGGACTGTTGTATCTTGGCCTTTTCTTTATCAACCTGAGCCTTCATGCTTATTTGTGGGTTTTTCTATTTCGTTCATGTGCTTTTTTTAGTTCATCAGTGGATTTGTTTCCTCCTTGCAGTGAACATTCTTTTTTGGCGGGGTTCACTACCAGAATAACTGGCGATGCCGACGGCCGAACCTATGCCGACGGGCCCCATCGGCATAGATTGGCCTATCCCGAAGGCCCAGCCCAGGCCGTCGGCATAGAAAAGCCGTCAGCGTATATCAATCTATGCCGACGGCCCCCGTCGGCAAAGCTCACCCGTCGGCGTCGATAGAAATATGCCTACGGTGGCCGTCGGCATAGAGAAGGCCGTCGGCATAGCTCATGGGCCCGGCTACCCGGACGGAGACGGCCTTTTGACGGCGTCAATCTACGCCGACGGGCTAACGGCGGCCGTCGGCATAGACGCCACGTCATCGATCCGCGTCGCCCGCCATGTCATCGATTCGCGTCGCTCGCCTGTCCGTGGGGTGGCAAATCTATGCCGACGGCCTGGCCGTCGGCATATGTCTGGCCCATGGATGTTGCCACATCACCGATCCGCGCCCTTAGGCACGTCATCGATCCGTGGCCATGTGCGCAGGTATGCCGACGGCCTTGCCGTCGGCATATCTCTATTTTTTTTATTTATTTTTATTTTTTTACTTATTTTTATTTACTTTTCCCTGTTTCTTCACAACATAAATGTGCCTTGTCTAACACAAAAAAAACATACCCAGATGGTATATCGATTGCCCCCCTCACGGACGTTGTTGCCGCCGCGCCGTGCCCCACAGCGATGCCGGAGATGGGGGGCACACCCCGGAGCTGCGTGCCGGGTGCCTGCGCTAGCCACCACGCTTTCACAACCGTAGGAGGGCCCAAAGCAACACCTAGCGGCATTGCTACCCCCCAGGTACACCCTCCCGTCTAACCGGGCCCTCATACATGCGGGGCGGTGTGGTGCCATGTCTAAAGAGGCGGGACGGGGGCCCTGGGGGATAGCAATACCACCAGAGCGTCGCACCGGCCCCTCATACATGCGGGGTGGTGTGGTGCCATGTCCAAATTAGAGGCGGCACGCGTCTTCGGGTTGTGCCCCCGCTCACGGACGGCGCCGTTGCCGGCACCTGAAGGGGGGAAACGGACGCGTCGGGTCTACACGGAGGGGATCTTACTGTGGGTTTGGCCCGGATGTTGCTCTAAAGTGTTCGTATGAGCTAACCTAACACGACCGGGTGGATAGTTCCACTGGTCAAAACCCGTCCGTGC